GCCCCCCCCCCTGCCCCCCCCCTCCTCCACCCCCCACTTGTTCTGTGCAGCCTGTGCGTCAACATGACAGGCGGCAGAAACCAGTGATCACCGCTGCAGCTGCTGCAGCCGCTGGCATGAAGAAGAGTAGTTGTTGTTGGAGGAGGAGGAGGAGGATGTCTCTGCCCTGCAGCGGATCGTCGTTTCCTGGTGTGGAGAGCTGATTTCTTCCCGAATTTTCTCTCACCGGATTTTTTTTTTTTTTTGGAGAGCGACACAGAGAAGGTAAAGATGGAAGATGGAGCAGCAGCAGCAACAGCAGCAGCGGCCGCCGCTGTCGCTGCAGCAGCTGATGCAGTTGACTGAACACTTTATGGGACAGACGTGTCTCCAAGAAAGTGAGGAGTGAGGAGAGTGGGACAGGGATGAAGGAGGAGGTGGAGATCGTGTGTCGGTGTTCGTTAACCGACCCCGTTTAATTGGTTTGATTGACATTTAGCTGCGGTTTTAACGTTATCGATGTAACACGTCACGCGTCCAGTGCGCAAACATTAACAGATGGTTTTGGTTTTGCGGGAAACTCACCCCCGTGAGTAACTGTTTAACCACCGCTCACATTTACGCGTTATTTCATACACCGCAGTTACGGTTCACCAGTATTGTGATTTTAACGCAAAATAAATATATCGATATATACGAAAATATCGAGAAATCGACGAAATTAAAAATGTAAATTGTAAAATTCAGGTCGTAGGCTAGTACAGTAGTACATTTAAATACTGCAGTTAAGGTGACCTCGTATTTTTGTTTATTTCAATTGATTTTGACATTTAATATAAAGTGATTGTCCTCAAAATAAAGTGTTTTTATATTTTTATATGAATTTGCCCTCAGTGAAACCCTGGTGTGTTTGTGTGTGATCTCCTCCAGGCTCCGCCATTCCTGACTGTGACGTCATACAGAATTCATCCCCTCGGTCCGGCCCCTGACACACAATGGTGGATTCCCTCAGGATGTCGTCCTCGGCCGCTGACGCAGTTCTCAGTCGAAGGTACGTGTCCGTTGTACTCGTAGTTTTACAGCTGCTGACACTACGAGGCGGAGCTCAGTACATTGGCGCCCCGTTGGATTGCCGCACCACGTGTGTGTGTGCCAGCAACATCGTCAGCTGCTCCCAGATGAATCTCACCAACGTCCCCAGTGGTCTTCCACACTACACGGCAGTCCTGGACCTCAGCTACAACGCCATCACCAGGCTGCGTGCGGAGTGGACGCCTGTGACGCTGAGCAGACTGAACACGCTCCTGCTCAACAACAACGGCCTCACCTTCCTGTCCTCCGAGGCCTTCGTGCACGTGACCAAGGTCCGGCACCTGGACCTGTCTTCCAACTGCATTCGCCTCCTGGACGAGTTCATCTTCGAGCCTCTGGAGCACCTGGAGGTGCTGCTGCTGTACAACAACTGCATCTCCCAGATCGACCGCTCGGCGTTTTCCAGCCTGGTGAAGCTGCAGAAACTCTACCTGAGCTACAACCAGATCTCACGGTTCCCTTTGGAGCTGGTCAAGGAGCGCAGCAGACTGGAAACCCTGCATCTTCTGGACGTGTCCTCCAACCGGATCAAAGTCCTGCCCCTCCAGGAGCTCCAGGCTCTGCCAGCCTGGCTGAAGAACGACCTGTATTTCCACAACAACTCTCTTCCCTGCAGCTGTGACCTGTACGACATGGTCGCTCGCTGGTACCTCAAGGAGCTGAACTCGGTGGCCGACTTCAAGGGCAGCCACACTTGTGTGTTACCGGGGCAGCAGAAGGAGAGAGTGACCATACTGGATCTGGACAAGGTCCATCTGAACTGCAGCGAGGTCAGGGTTCTAACTGAAGGAGCCTTTCTGGAGCAGTTCCTGGTCCTGGACTGTGACACCAAACAGAGGGTCGTGCAGAAAAGCTGGGTTCTCCCCGGGAACACGTCCTTGTCCGCTGCCAACAAGACCGCTGTGATGCGCCACGACAGCAGCCTCCAGATCGGACCCCTGAGGGCGGAGGACTCCGGGGTGTACACCTGCTACGCCACCGGTGACGCCTACAACGAAACACTTTACGTGACCGTGGTGGTGTTCAATTCCACCATGAGCGGCGGACTGGAGAACCTGAAGACGGCCTACACCACCCTGGTGGCATGTCTGGTCAGTTTAGTCATGATCCTCATCTACCTCTATCTAACACCCTGCCGTTGCCCTTGTTGCCCCGGCTACGGTTTGGAGAAGAACGACCCCGGCGACAGCTTCCACTCGTCGACCGTCAGCATCAACCAAACCCACAACGAGGGCGGACAGGAAGTGCAGGAAGGCAGAGGATTCCCCTACAGGCACGTGGGCTTCCAGGAAATCAAGGACCAGTCGGAGCAGAACGGGAGGTTGAATCCGATCGGCGAGGAGGACGAGGAGGCGCAGGGCGACAGCAGGGAGAGGAGGAGGTCTGATGCCGAGTCGGTGTGCTCTGACACCCCCATGGTGGTCTGACTGTGTTCTTTATCTGCTACACGGTTTTAGAAGCATGTCATTATCAGAGCAATAGCACTTAAATTAAGAAAAGTCTCTATTTAAATATTTTTCAAAAGTAGCATTTTTCAGAGACTGTGTTTTCGCGAAGTCACGTTGCACATACAGTATGTTTTTTATTGTTTGATACATGTCTCATATCCTGACGGAAATGTGTTTTAGACAAATATACTTAATGCTGAAGCTGCACATTTAAAAAATACTTTTTTTACTCTTTCTTTTAAGGTAAAAACAAGAAGAAGAAAGTTTAATTTTGCTTTCATATCTATATAATTTAATTTATCTTTGACTAAAAGAAATGTGTTTTTTTTATTTTTGATAGTTTTATTTTACATTCCTCTATGTTCTCTTTGCGACATGTGATACTGTAATATTTTATCTTATTATGCTGTAAATGTACACGTACCAATATTAAGCAGTAACATAGCTGTAGGTCCAGTGTGTTTGTTTTTTTTCTGCTTTAGGGCTAAGACAACTTGTTTGTGTATTTGTTTTTTTCTGCTTTAGGGCTAAGACAACAGGATGTTGACTACTGCAGTACTTTATATGTACTTCAAATAACACTACAGTAATAAGTAACATGAATAGCAATATCTTGTGACAAACTGTTTCACTGTTCAGCCAGTATTTTGCATACTCCTATTTATAACCACACACACACACACACACACACACACAGTAGATGTTAGTGACAACGTCGATGTTTACAACAACATACTGACTAAAAACAGACATATTTGTGTTAAAAACTGACTTTTTCATCATGTTAGAAAAGTTGCTCTAAAATACATTTTAGCCCAGAGATGGACAAACTACGGCCCGGGGGCCGTGGGTTTTTTTTTTTGAAAAGTTGCTGGAAAATACATTTTAGCCCAGAGATGGGCAAACTACGGCCCGGGGGCCGAATGGGGCCTGTTTGGCTTTTTAATTTGGGCCGCCCAATTTGTCCAAATCAATCCGAGCAGAGCGTCATCTCAGAGAACCAATGGTTGGAGCTTCCTGATGGAACTTAAAGCAGAGCAGCAAAGGACGCAAACAGTTTTGTGAGGCAAGAGCAACAGTTGGTGCTGCCCCCTACAGTCGGTAGCACCCCGCACCACTGAGCAGGTTAAAGAATAATCCACTCATTCATCCTTAACTGAATCTTATTCAAAGTGGCTGTGACTGGAGCTTACCCTAAACCAGAGGTCCCCAACCCCTGGTCCGTGGACCGGTGGTGGTCCATAGATCATTTGGTACTGGGCCGCAGTGAGACACAGTGATTGGACATCACTGGGATCTAAAATCTGGGGAATTTTATTTAATTTTTTTTTTGTGATGCAGCTCAAAAATGAATCTGGATCTGTTGGGGTCGGGGTAACATTCAGAGCAGTCATATAAATGCACAGCCTGCCATCGCTCTGCCCGGGGGAACAGAGTGAGTCTCATCTGCTGAAAGCTTCTGGGCATTAGTGGCAGACCCAGAGTGAATCAACAAATGCCAGCCAGAAGTCTCATAAACATAGTCAGAAATAGCAGCCTGTAGCTCAGCCAACACACAAGCTGTCGAACACAGATGAACATCCAAACACAGCGGTGTCTCCTCTCCCACCATCTGAGCAGCATGACTGAAAGGATTTGATGACTTGATGGACTTTTGTGTTTTTAAAGTCTGTGTCCATATGCTGCTACTACAGTGGGGTACTTGTCTGGATACGTGTCTGTGTGTGTGGGGTGAGTAGGGGCAGACCGGGCGGGGCTGGTTTTGAAGACGAGAATAGGAGGTTACATCACGGCTGTCGTGTCCCTCCTCTGATATATCTGCTCTCCCATAAAGCTTCATGATGAACTAATAATTTAATCTTAGTCTCTGTTTCACGTAGGCCCCCAAGAATATTATAACAAAGTAAAATATTCAAATATAAGAAGAGAGGAGTTAAGTTCAAACTAAGCTAAATATGATCTAAATCAGTGGTAATTATTGTCAAACAAAGAAAGAAATATAACATATAATCAAATTACAAATTGGTGCAATTTCTCCACCGTGTAACACGTTTTCAACATAATACCCTGTAATAACCCCTAGGTGGCCTCGCGCCCATTTAAGGACACAAATATAGACAAAATAGTTTTTTGTGTGCATGCATAGAAATCAAGGCTGGAATGTTGAATAAAAACAATGATTTGTCAAATGAAGTGATTCAACAGTGAGCTCAAAAGTTAAACTCATCCTAATCCTGAGAACGAGTGCGTTTGCAACGACGGCAGATGTTCTTAAACGACTTAACGCACGACATCCCGGTGATATATGTAGCAGAGGTTGATGCTTTTACTTTTTTGTAAATTGGAAGCACAATTCTTTTTGTTTTTATTTTCTGTCATCCTGTTTTACTTTTTTACATTGTGTGTTTTAGATGCTCAAATCGAGGCAACTTAGTATCCAAAATTATGTTTAACACTGAAATTCTAACATTTCTAATGTCTGTTATGACTTCTTCATAACCAAAGATGTACTTAAAATACATTAACACTGTATTAACGACTGTTTTTGTTTACACTGAATACATTCACACAGTTATATTATAATAAGCGAAGGTTACCTCTTTATTTCTGCATTACAAACCACAACCTGACACGCTAATATATGCAATTCTGTGCAGATTTACTTGTTATTTTCTGTATTATACAATAGTTATTTTCACTGTAATGTTTTATTTCTGTGTTGTTATTGTTGTGTAATTAATGTTTGAAAAACATATTAAATTATTTCCTGTGTGGTTAAAAAGTAAAAGGAGTTTCACTATGAATACGGACGCTACTAGATTAGCTTTTAGCTTTCCTTTTAGCTTAGCGTAGCTACAATAAACAGCGTTTCATTTGGATAGACTTAGCTTCGCTTAGCTTAATTTAGCTTAGCTCCGCTTAGCTTATTTTAGCTTAGCGTAGCCTGTGTACATAGAGATGCACTTTCTTAAAAAAAAATACAATAAAGACTGAGATCCACAATTAGTTAAATCATGTTTAACAGAATTTTTTTAACTAACAAACGCATCTGTTGAACATAAACATATAAGAAATGTATAACAGAAACCAAAAAAAGCTGGGACATAGGCAAAGCATTATGGGATATTAGTGAGTTAGCAGAATATAAGGTCTGTCACTATCCAATACCAAAAACAAAATAACTCAGGGTCAGGTGAAAAACCCTGAGTGGTAACGCATTTGTTTTTAAATAATCAAACTAGTCACGCATTTGTTTTTAAATAATCAAACTACGTGGGTTACATTACATTAAAACATCACATGACCAAATAGCAAACACATCTCTGCACAACATGTTTTTGAAATTTGACTCAAATGACATTATGAGCGAGTCCATGTTTACCAAATATTATTTATTTGTTCTATGAAAACGTTCAACGTCATTCTGATCGTGTTAAGTATGATCTTTATAAAAAATTCATATTTTCAGAGTTCCGTCCCAGATCCACTTCTCTAACAGGTTCTATTTATGCTGTTGCCGTGACGGTGGCTACAGTGGGAAACCTCACCTGCCGTCCTACGACTCCTCTACTGTATGAATGATTGAAGAGGGGAGGTCTACACTCATGCTGCAGCAGCTGTCATCTCATGTTACTGTACAGTATTTATGCAGTCGACGCACAATGGACAAGCAGGTGTGTGTGTGTGTGTGACTAACTACAGTAAACAACATTAAAAAAACACACACTACACTATTATAAGAGAAGAAATGACAGGGGAAAAAACACTGTTAGAGGAACAGCACAAATGACTGATGTTGGTTGTTGGTGTGTGTGTGTGTGTGTGTGTGTGTGTGTGTGTGTGTGTGTATACAGGCCCAAAATGGAAAGAGCTGAATTATATGACTACAGATGGCACGAGTGTGAGCCAATGAATGACTGGCATTTGGCTGCGATTCCCAAACTGAATTCTAAGTGAGCAGATGACTCATCCACTGCACTGGCTCCTCTTTGAAGAGTCATGTACATGTTGGGGAGTCCTCTGCCATCTAGTGGCGACTGACAGCAAGTACCCGAGCAAAACACAAACATTATTGAAGAACTCGTCCACATATCATAAGATTCAACATAGTTAGATCAATGCTGGAGGTCCAATAGTGAAAAAACAAACAAACACATAAAGGAAGTGTCGTCTGACGATATACTGCCATCTGGAGACCTTAAAATTTACTGCAGCAACTACAAAATAGATTTTAACTATTTATTTATTGTTTAATATTTAAAATGTGCCATACATTTTGAACCCTAAGATATTACCTTTGCTTCCGTGTACCAAATTTGATTTATTGAGTTAGAAAAATAACTAATTTAAATCAGTTTTAAACCTTTAAATACAGTGAAATATAACCGAGTCGCTCCTTGGACTGTATACAGCAAAAATACACAGTGAAATTACGTGGAAAATACTTGTACGGAAACACGGTAGAACTGAAAGAGTTCTTCTTATGTGCTAACAAGGAGTTATTTTTATTCCTTTTTTGTTGAAAAACAATGATAATAAATATATTTATATAATATTTTTATTGTTTCTTTTTCCACTCTACAAGTTAGATTTAAATTATATAGGAAAAATAAATCCTTTACAGACGTCCCTGTTTATAATCTAATTGTTAAACAGAACACCGTCCAACACTGCCCTCTAGCGGACAAAATGCGTCACATCAGCATTAAGCAAAGACAATTCAGGTTTTAAAAACAGACGAAGAGGAAGACGTTTAGAAAGAAGCTGAATTTATTACACACTCATGTCATGTACAGTGACATCAAATGTTTTAAGGGAATAAAATGAACTGTAAAAGTTCTTATTGGTACTCACCAGGTGTTGACTCCTCATTGGATGAATCCCTTCAGTGTGCAGTACGAGCCATCTCTTCCAGCTAATTCAATCATACCTGGAATACTGAACAATTTAAAGTCACCAAAAATCTTTTAAATAAAAGTAGTCTTTATAAAGGGAAAAAAAGAATTTCAGTTTTTACGTCTGATGTCATCGTTCACACAGAACCACACTGAACCCACCATCTAAAACAAAGGCTCAATACTCTAAAATTGGACTTAATGAGAGACTTAACCTTTTAATTTAAAATAATTCTGTCATCACAATGTAACAGAAAAACATTTAAGTTTAATTTATATATAAATTTAAAAAAAAACCTGCTACACTGGAAGGAGAACACTTTCACTTTTTTACCAAGTTTACTTGGTATGTTAAACAAATTTGTGTTACAGTTGTTTTCTCTACAAAATTTAAACAAACAAAATTCTTGCCCTTGGACGGGGTAAAGAAGAAGGCTGTGACCGTGATGAAAAACTACATGTGACGTCACAGAAATTGAAGTATGTTTGGTGTTGAAGGAACGTGTCTGTTATTGTACAATCTTTGTGGTTTCATTCTGTCAGATAAACAACTTTCTACTTCAATGCAAACATTTTAGACAGTTCCAGCCTGGTGATTTTCTTCATTAGAGTTTTGAACCTGTAACCCATTATTTCAATGTCTTTCATCACCAATCTGTTCAAGATAACCACATATAATTCAAAGTAGTAAAATCTAGTGGCTAGTTCTAATTTAACTGATTTTCTACAGACACTTCATCAAACAGGAACCACATGATAATCTACTGGTCAACTCATGTTTCAACCCTGTACGTACCTGAGTCAGAAGGCTGGGTCTCTGTAATACTTCACCTGTGGATGGAATGGCACCTCCCGACACACCAACTCTCAGCCCGGTCGCTCCTCTGATGTGATGGATCCTGACATGGCGGGGGAGGGGGGGGGGGGCCCCGCCGCGCCGGCGTCAGGGGCGTGCAGT